ACAGATAAAGGTGAAAAGAGTTGATTCTGGATATTCATCCTCGTCAAATTAGAATCCGTTCAGTAAGTTTAGTGGAAGTCTGCAACAAATTATAATGTTTGCACTATTTTCGTCCTCATCTTTCTTTTTTTAGGGTAAAGTAATGGTGAAGGTAAATGACAATTAACTAGCTGAACTAGTCATGATTTCTTTGCAGCATATATTTCAGTCCACCCTGCTAATTAGTTGCTAACTCTAGTCAAATCAAGGAAAGAAATGTATACATAAGTGCTCATGCGAGAAAATGTTAATAACTTAATATGACGTTACGCGTTTGGACTAATTCCACAATATTTTTTTTATAGTCAAAACCATTTATTTTCCAGCCATTCTTATAAAAATTCTTCCAAATTAAAAAGCGTTTTTGACAAAGACACAATATGGCTAAAAACACGGCGAAATGTTTATGACAATGTTGCATATGAAGTGAACAAACATCTCATTTTATGCAACGCATGTGATGAAGATTAGTCATAGAAGGTTGATAGAGATGGGAGTGGTGGGCAACATGCCAAATTAATCAGGATCCTATCCCCTCCCTTCAGTTTAGACCGTTCAAAAAAAATCTTTTGGCTTGACATTGTGCCACATGTTCAATGAGCATTATTATTATTATTTTTTTTTGTTGCTTTTATTCAAACCCAATTGAATCAACAAACCATGAACGCAAAATTTTTTTCATCAAATGCTTGGATCTTTTCAACACCGACAGAGAGAGAAGATGGTTTAACCGTGGCCGGTGATTGCAAGAGGAGGAAGGTAAGCGGCGGCGTGAACGGGGGTGAAGAAGAGGAATGATTGTTGAACAATAACAATAAAAATTTTGATAAAAAATAAAATAAAATAACGCTCATTAAATATGTGACACAGTTCTAAGCAGTTAGATAATTTCTTTTGAACAGTTCAGATTACAAGAGCAGGATGAAAGAAGAGAAATAAGAAGAGAGAAAATTCAAGTCCAATTAATCAAAGTCGTCGTTTGATTGATAGACTGGTCCCAAAACAACTCTTAGTCTATCTCTTATACATCACAAGCCTTATTGCAATTACCTAAACCATTAAAAAGAAAAATGAACAAATAAATGGTAAATTACACATTATGATTTAAAAAACAATGCAGTTTCCATCTTAAAGAGCTATCTAGGATATACTTCGGTGATCAATGAAACCTCATTTTCTGGTGCTTTGACAGAGCTGCTCTTGGATCGATCCGACCCCGTTGTAATCACCTCCGAACTATTCTTCCATCCCAAAGACATGTCAGATCCAACGTTACTATCTTTGAAAAATGCTGGTTGTGAGGGTACTGGAAGTGTGACTGAGTAACTGTTAAGCATTAGAACAATAGCATTCATGGTTGGCCTATTGGCTATATTTTCTTGCACACATAGCAACCCAATATGGATGCATCTCATTATTTCATTTCTTGAACCGTTTGTCAACGCGGGATCTATTAGATTCGAAGCTCTCCCTTCTCTCCAACATTTCCATGCCTACGTTGTGAAATGCGTAGAAATACATTTAGAGATAAATTATTTTTCTTGGTTGCATTATGCATATAGTTTAAGCACTTACGAAGCTTAGAAGATCCTCTACATTCTCGCCATGACGAAAGGAATTATTTTTCTGTCCGCTCACTATCTCCAAAACTAAGACACCAAAACTATAGACATCCGACTTAACAGAAAAGTGCCCATGCATCGCATATTCTGGAGCCATATATCCACTGCATATCGATACAAGAATAATAAATGTTGGTTTTATGATCACTAACTTAGATGAGAACTTTGGATTATTGATATAGATTAACACAATTATAATATAAGCCATGTAGCCTCGTCGACTACTTACTAGGTCCCCACAATTCGACTGGTGTTGCCTTGTGTTTGATCAACCCCAAACAATTTTGCCATGCCAAAATCTGATATCTTGGGAGTCATTTCTTCATCTATCAAGATATTACTGGCTTTGAGATCACGATGAATAATTCTAAGCCGCGAATCCTCATGAAGGTAAATGAGCCCTCGAGTAATGCCTACTATGATTTTGTAGCGCCTATCCCAATCCAATTGTGCGCGCTTGATTGGGTCTGCATGTTCAATTCAAACCAAGGTTACAATGTTTCTTGTATGTCACAAGAATGAGATTTTATGGTAAAATTTTGAAGTTAAAGCTAAAATTGTACAAAAAGAACATTGAAGCATAAATACCAAATATGATGTGGTCCAGACTTGCATTAGGGACAAACTCATAAATAAGAAGCCTTTCAACTCCTTCCAAGCAGAAACCCAAGAGCCTAACTAAGTTTCGGTGTTGAAGCTTTGCCATTAACAAGACCTCATTTTTAAACTCCAAATCTCCTTGTCCAGAATTTACGGAGAGCCTTTTCACTGCTATTTCTTGTCCATTGAATAACCTACCCTGAAAGAGTATCAAAAGAAAAAGGTTGCATTCAAGGAATATATACATGAAATTGGTGATGTTGCCCATATATATCATCATGTTGTTAAGATTGGCAGGTTAGGTTTTTTCACAATAAAGCCGGCCCCTGTGTTATGATCAATAGTGGAACAAGCACTATATATTGTATTTTATTTCGTAAGGTATGATGCGAGAATCTTATCTTCAATAGATGTGTTATATATTACCTTGTAAACATAACCAAATCCCCCTTGTCCCAGTTTATTGGCTTCAGAAAAGTCATCTGTGGCAATTCTAATGGTGTCAAAATCGAATTGCAAGGATTCTGCACTTCCAATTTCGCCCACGTCTTCGCCTGTGGTACAATTTTAACAAAAATTTCATATGTAACATAATTAGATCTAGATGATGTAACAGTACTAGGCTTCCCACTTGAAGCAAATTGAGTTAAATTAATGTTACTGTGTACGTACCTGGAATTAAATTGCTTTGAAGCTTTTTCTTTGCCTTCCGTACTCTTAGACAAATGCCCACGAACATTACTAGTACCAAAGAAGCAATAATTGGCACAACAATAATGATGACAGTCCGAGATTTGCTGCTCTTCGATCCTGCAAAGTAAAATCAGAAATATATCTTCTCTAATCACATGACATTCTGAATAACATGTTTAAGTGATTGATCTATCAAAGAGAGGAGTTCCCATTGATCAATTAAATTTTGAGATCAGTGTCAAGCAAATATACAGTCATCGACGTACGTAATGGAGTGTACATACATATACGTTGTGCGTACGTACCTTGTGAAGTGTTTGTGGTACTGGTTGATGGTGGTGGAGAATGTATTGGTGGCGGAGATGGCAGTTGTTTGACAGTTGTAGGGTCATAGAAGGGGTAAAGATCGAATCTAAAGTAACAGCTTGGTCTATTAACTCCCCCACCTACTTTCCCGTAAAAATAGGAGATATATGCAAAAGCCCCAACTAAGCAATCACTGCAACTTTGCTCTGATATGTCTGGCGTGCATTGCGCTAGTGCAAATATTGTTTGGAAAGTTGGGCCACTTGTGTTTCCGAATGCAAATTTCCGAAGAGAACCGCCAGCTGCAGCTTCACTTCTTATGCTGTCCAGTAGCTTCCTCAGCTCTTGGTTGAATCCATCCAGGTCGGACGACGATATGTTATTTATGTTCCAGTAATACGGCGAAGGCTCAGTTTCCATGACGCCATAGATGGAGCGGTTTGAGTAGCGTAAAATGCATTTTTCATTCCAACCAAATGCTTCCTTCCGATTAGGGCAAAGCTGAGGGAGAGTATATCGGGAATTATTTAGGCAGCTACGGCAATCTTCCGCCTTGGCATCTCCTCTACAAAGTCCGGTTGCATAAATGCGCTCGTTCGACGAGTTTAGGCGATAGGATGCATTGTAAAAGCCATACCCGTTGCCGTTTTCGTTGGAGGGCAGGGAGGAGAGGAGGCGGTTGAGGTTTGTCTGATAGGTACTATTGGTGGTATAGTTTCCTTTTTCGTCTATGCAATTTTGAGCAAGGGCTTGATTAATCATGAGAAACAGAATGGGAAAGAGGCAGAATAGAAATCTTGAGGAATCCATTGCTGGCATTATAGTTGTGATGGAAAACCTGCTACACATCTATTTATGAAGAACGAAGTCAATGAATATCTCACTTTACGCAAGACGCCGTAGTGGGAATACCAGACTTTTAGTAATAGCTCTAGCTACGATATGGTTGCTATCATTCCTCTATACATGCATGTTTAAGTGTTCTACATGATCTCTAATTATCTAGTTTTTCGTTTACAATTTTTTCATGTATCAAGCCTATGTAACTCTTATGAAAAAATAATGCTATTGCGGCGGTCTCAAGCCAATAACACAATATCATATTGGTAAGTTGAAATTTAAAATGCATTGTAATCTCAAATCAAATACTACGTGATTAGTTTGAAATGCCGTTACAATGACATCATTGTATAAGCAAGTTTCTCTTTTATATTATATCTTTGTAGGTATTCTTTTTACTGTTATAATTGAAGATGCTGATATAGACGGGAGTGCTAAATTAAATATTTAAGAAAGCTTCTTCCGAGACTTATACTATTCAACCGTTGAAATAAAGTAAACCACAGATTGGAACAGGAGTCGTTGGCTGGGCCAACTTCTCTTTGCTTGTCGGTGCAGGCATTATCTCGGTCAACAAAGTAAATAAATTATAATATGCAATTCTGACAATTATTTACTCGTTTAGTTCGATACACCTTTCTACTTTGTGGTCAGAATACAATTGTCGATTTGAAACTGATTGTTTCTTAGTTCCTTCTCGGCTTAGATTGATTGTAATCGGCAAATACATGGTGGTTACTACGATGTAACGAGCAAGAAATGTTACAATAGTTGATATTGCTGCACACCTTACTCTTTACTACAGTTGATGCTAGCAAAAATGTCCGATCTCCACTGCGGGTTTTGAATTCGTAACCATAGTTTAACACACCAATTTTTAAATTATTCAAAAACCAATCAAGGCAGCTGAATCATCATGGTAAAATAAGTCTTTAAGTTGGATCTACATTCTATTGAATTTACATTAAAAGCCTATGTACAAACAAAATGGCGGATTTTTTAAAGTCCCAACTATATACAATGTATATGAGTTTTTCACATGAATTGGAGAATGATGGTTGTTTAATTGTACCTAAAGTGCAGCAGTAGCTGTCAGTGTGTGGCTAAAATGCACCTGCACAGTGATTCAAAATTGAGTCATGATTCCTGTAGCATAAGTAGAAGAGTAGGTGCTACACAGAAGTTTGTACTATACAAATAGTCAATGCTATTTCCAAACCACCATGAGATTGCTTATAATAAACTTACCGGGAAGTTGAAATTCAACCGAACATAAACATCAGGCACATCAGAAAGATGGCAGCAGTTTAAGTCTTGAAGGTTCTCTTCATTTATGTCCTACCAAAATCTTACCAAAGTTGATGGGAAAAACAAAAAATGTGATTGCAAAGATGTGATTCCCAACAACAAATCCTACCAAAATCTGATCCTTTCACCAGCACCTACCACCAATTGAATATCCCACCGACACTCCAAATTTTGACAGCCTTTAAGAACAAAACTGTTCTATGAAGCACAAAACTCTTCCAACACATTGCTTGCAAGATTTACTATGTTTAAACCTCTGATTTATTGGTATCATGCGATTTCTTTGAAAATTTACATATACCTCAAAAAGTAGTAAAAGTGCTTCAGCAGCATTAGGGGTTTTATAACAAAGAAGTCATTCATTTCTACTGATAAACTGAAACAATGATTGATACAAAGGTCTTCGCATCAGATAAAAATGACCGACTAAGAAGAATTCCAGTGCAAAATGACTGACCAAGAAGACTTCTATTTTTCAGAAAAGTAAAAACAATTAATCGTTATGGCACAAATTCTAAAGTTAATAAGCCCTAAAGTAGGAAGCCAAAAAAAGAGGAGAATTTTACAACACACATCTCAGAAACAAATAGACTCATTTGAAATGTTCTTAAAGAAATAATACAGTGCCAAATTGGAATCATATCGAAGAATAAAGAGGCCTCAGATATTTTATCCATAAACCTAAAAACTACTGAGAACAAAAATAACAATCACTCAAATGGAAAGTACGGGGAAGCACTGCATCAAAGGTCAAGTGGTATACCAGAATTTTGATTCAAAGGTCATGGCTGAGGACCTCTGCATCAAAAGCAGCTGCAAGAGCAAATGATGATGCTGCGATGGGAGTCCAAACTAAACAGCAAAAAATTAGAGAGAATAAGAGTAAGAATTCGAACAGAGTTCATGCATTTATATTGTATAAATGACTCTAAGCTTGTTTTGCTTCTTGCAGGCTTATATGATTCAAGAAAAATGTTTTATTTAGTTCCTCTCGTAGAACTAAAGAGGTGATGTTGATACAACCATTTTTTATCGCTCGTTTCTTTAACTTCTAAGATTTCTACTTGCCATAAAAAAAATATAAAAAAAAAAAAAACTAATGGCAAAATTATATCAAGGATACAAATAGTTACAAAGGCGTGGATTATAACTGTTCATCTTGGATTTGAGAACTTCGTGTCCTCCTTATTTTTAAACATCAGATCTGAACTCTGTGGTGCTTTCTTTCACACCTAAACACCATCGTCTTCGATCTTGAGGCTTCTACATAGAGAATACATAGATGAGACAGTCATCTTCCATTTTGCCCTAATCTACTATGATCGGAGATGAAGTTAAAGGCATAAGGTGAGAAAATTTTACCTGTGAGTGTGTCGAAACCAAGATCAGGAGGTTTGGCATCTGACTTGCATGGCTGAGCTCAATTTATGAAGAGCAGCGAAGATGGAGGGGTGAATCTGACCACGGCGATGGAGATTTTGTGCATGCTTCTGATTCTAAATCGTACCTGCAATACGGCCGAAAAATTAATGCAGCGGTGGATCGAGAATGAAAGACGACAGAGAGAAGAGTGAAGTCAGGCTGTCTACAGCGACTCGAACGGATCAAAATTTGATAGAAATCTTTAGGGCCCGACAGAGAATGAAAGACGATGGATAGATATGAAATTATATACCTCAAAATGGCAAGGAACCAACTTCTTCCTCCAACGATCCAAATTTCTGAAATTTGCAAACAAAGTAAATTCATTAGCAACTCAGAGACTTTCAAATTTAAAGACCAAATCTAATGAAATTTTAGTTAAATGACCAAAAGCACACCAAAAGAAAAAAGAGATTTTAGAAATATGTTGAATCCAACACAACTAATTTGGTTCAACGAAGAATACGAAAGCTTAAGGCCTAGGTGAAATGTTGCGTAAACTGCAAGGGGCCTCAGCCAAGGCTATAATTGAACAGTAAAGGCAAATTAAATTTGTTTGATCTTGTCACAAAGAACTGAGTGCAGGAACAACTTTTGTGGCTCGATGGCGAGAGAAGTAAATAACCAAGTTTATATATTGCAGTTCGAATAACAGAATTATAGGTTCACAACACCGCAAATAAACTTCACCCAACCAACATGAAATGACACGAAAAAAGAGTCGATTACATAAGTTTTAAATAAGCTTGTGCCAAACAGCTTATGCCACTACGCCCTCTCATGTTTAAGGAGGAATTGAAAGAAAATAGTTCATGAATGTCGTGCTTCTGCTGGTTGCACAGTGCATCGAACAGCGATTTCACAGCAGCAACAACAAATAAATCAAATAATGTAACGGAAGAAAAACAAAGATTAATAATCATATCATGCTTGTTTAGAGATATAATCATAGCAAATAGAGAGACTCAATCCATTGCTAAAATCAGCAACCATTATTTCCCAACAAACAGGTGCAAATATGATCATTAGGTCAGTTCGTTTAGTGTCCTTTTTGTACTCAAATTCGACTCTCCCTCCTTGAGGATTAATAGCTTAGTTTAGAATATCGTTTTGTTAACAAAAACTTAAATCAGGCAACTAATTAAGTTTGGTTGCAATATTCGGGTATACACATATATAGGGCACATGGTTCCGTATATATGCTGATTCCACAAGCATTACTAATCTGAAATTCTGGTGTTTGCCATCCCCTTTCCAGCTAAGCTCTCTCTCCCCACGGCTCTTGGCATCAGATTTTTTGGGTTGGGTCACTACCAATTGTTAGTCAACCCTAAACTCTAAACTTCAATTGTACACCGGCAAAGCATCTTTAGTTCAATCCATTCCTCTCTGCTATATACTCTCGCAAACACAGAGAAATATCCGTTGCAGATAGATTTCAATAGATAAGCATAAAGCATGCATGTCAGTAAATCAAAAGTAATGGTCAGTTGTAGTAGACGTTATGTACCATATAGAAGATAAGGATGCGATGAGAGAGAGATGACACATTATTATTTCACTTTTAAGGTTTTGAGATCACACTCCATCCTTTGATTAAAAAGATTTTGACACTTAAATTAGGCGAACAGATCGAACTAAGGATTTAATCTGCACATGCAACTGCACCTTCAGTTGCCAACACCAAAAATTTCTGTGTATTACTCTAAGAATATCATGCCAGCCCAGCAGGGCAAACCTGCGGCTTTTAACACCATCGTTTGAAATTTATTCATTGCAGAAAGCTGAAAGCAAAAAGATACGGTTACTCTTCTGTATATAATTAACATCATTTCGTCACGTTACAAATATGTAGGGGTTAGGGTTATGAATGGTTCTATGACACTGGGACTCAGACAAAAACCTAGGTGCAACCGACTTTGTATCTGTCGCCCAGTTTATAGTAAGAGTAAGCATCACTGTTTGGCAACGCACAGATCCATCAGTCTGAAATATATATTACAGTAGTTGGCACATGCAAATTACAAACTCTTCTCTATACATGACTGGCAAGCAGAAGAGATATGAGAATATACCAGAGGACCCTAACAGTTAAGATTAGAGAGAACTAGAGTCCGCATTCGAACACAGTTAAGAGATTTGTATTACAAATCCTTTTGTCCAAAACCTAACAAAATTAAGAATGGATAAACAAATACCTCAATGATGGTCTCTTTGGCGCCTGCTCTGTGAATGCATGGTTTGATGTGTATGCTTGTGTTTGATCTACATACATGTCAAGAAGAAAAATTAAAAAGTGCATCACACAAATACATAAGCAACCAAGAATTGGAAAACAATCTACCAACAGAGGAGCTATACTGTTACTAAAACAGCCTAATCTCCCCAACACCCTCATCACAGAAATACAGAAGCAACAAAGTATGGAGAAACAATCTAGCAACAGAGGGATATTCAAACGATGTGAAGCGGAAAAGCAACCTCAATTTTATATGTTGAGTGGCATTTTAGTAAAAAAGAAATGTACCCAAAATTGCACAGTGCCACCTCCCCTCTTGCTTTAGACTAAAGTAATTGCTGCACACCTTACCCTCCAGCACATTTGTGTTTATTTATGATATTAAGATTGAATTTATTGAACGATAATCAAAACACAAAAGATAAATAGTATTTGAGAACAAAGGGAAATCCCGAATGTACATGCATGTGCTCGAATTGGTCCGACCTAGAAGTAATGAAACAAGACTAGCTTGAAGCTTCTGATTTGTTCTTGCTTGGAAGACTAATACAATTCAACCTCTGGATTGAGCCAGCAAGAACAAACCAATATTGAATTTCTCTTTTGCTTGGCCTAGCCATCCGTATGTCTAGAGGAAGCAGACCAATGCATTCACTGAAAATAATGGAACGATACATCGAGGAATATCAGACGAATACAATTAAACAGCTTGTACATCTTTTAATCAACAATAAGTCGTGAATATATGTGAAACTTTAGGAGGTGAGACCTAATGAAAACTAACGGATGGACCCGGTTCAGATGCAATAACAGATAATGACAGTAAGTTGATACATGTATTTCACCATAACGATCGTATTCTCGTATCGAATTACTTTGGTGACTGTTGCCCCAGTTTCTTGTAGCGATAGGTGTGCATAAAGAGAAAATGTTGTGTATACGTTATTTCTTTTAACAAATCATAGCCATTTACATGAAGAACGAATCTGATATAGGATGAAATTAGTGTTATTTTAATTTTCCCCCCTCCTAAAAAACACCAATTCTGTCCCACATCAAAATCACACCATGTAGCACCTACTATCTGTGGGTGTAAAAATTAAGGCTCAAGCAATAAGCCACTTCCCATGAATCCTAAATTTGGGAGAATGGAGTTAGAATAAAGGAGCATGATCGAACGCTTCCAAGGAATTTGAAACATGGAGAAATACAAGGAATGTGGAACTTGGAGTCCAAGCATTTTATGCCTATAAAAAGGCTAATAATCACACAAGAACAGGGGGGAGGATTGAAGTACCTGAATTTTTCTGCTCCAACACTGTCTATTTTAACAAAGCTTAGAAGATCCTCCTCATTTTCTCCATGCTGAAAGCGGCTAGCACACCAAAATTATAGGCATCTGACTTAACAAAAAAGTGCATCTCATACTCTGAAGCCATATATCCATTGCACATCCATAAATAGAATGTTTTTTCATCAAATCCTCGATGGATATCCCATACATTTTTTGTGTTCCGAAACCCCTGACGGATGTCTCATGCAAAATTAAACATTTGAACGAAAACTTGTATTATTTGTTTCTATTAACAGACACATTTTAATGCATATAGTGTAGCACTCAAAGTACACAAAAAAAGTCTAACAATTATCCTGGAACAAAAACTTATAACCATACAGAACTCATCACAGTCACAATTAAAAAAGTAACTAAACTAATCCCATTACATGAAGCACCACATAAACTATTCAGAGTCAGGATTAAGCTAGCTTAGTTTGACAAAAATAAAAATAAAAACTAAACTAGCTTAGCTAATTATTAAACTACTTTGCTCTTTGCAAAACAGAAAACTTGAAGATGTAATTGGCAGTTTTCCAGTCCCAGTCAAGGTAAAGACCGATTTCGTCATTTTCCTTCAAGCCTCTCCGAACCACAAACTTCGGTCTCCAACCTCCATTCAGAACGTAAAAATCACCAGAGTTCCAATGCTTAAAAGTTAACTCATGCAGGTTGCACGTATCCAGATCCACAACTGTAACTGGTAAGCCCTCTTTACTGTCGACCATCTTGGCTAACTTGTCGTCCAAGTAAGACATAACGTGTTTTCGCACTGCTTCTTTTGGCATCAATAGCCTGCTCAGCTCTCCGAGGTCACTCGCCGCTAGCCTCTTCTTGATTTTCCAAATTGAGCTGTAGTCCCAGGTTGGATCCCACATATACAGATCGGTAGAGGGTTTGTGTCCTCTGCAAGGATCATTCAAACTACTGCCAAGGCTGACGCCGAACAGTCGTACTTTTGAAGGGTGGTGGTCTTCTTCTAGTTTCATTGCTAATTTTTCGATTGAACGTAAATGCTTGGAAAGTGTGGAAGATAAGAGAAGCACACTGTTGGTATATATAAAGATTTAATCATGCTTGGATTAGGAAAGTATTGGCTTTCCTAATTTCATCAGGAAACTTTTCCTTTTGTTCCATCTTTCCCTTTCTAATTATTCCTGGTTCGGGTAGGTATTTTGTTTTAAATTTCGAATTCCGTTTGGGCCTCGGTTGGTCTCTTTGCGGCGTGGCCCGCAATACGTTTTTAGTTGGGCTCCTTTCGAGCTGTCCAATTCCGTTGGGCCTGGGTATGAATCCGTTTTAGATTTTTTTTTTTTTTTTTTTAATTTTTATGGACATTTTAGGTGTTAAAATTCCTTATTTAATTTAATAGGAAACTAAGGTATTAATCCTTGAAAAAATTTAGTTTTGACATATACCCAAGGGAGGGCTGAGATAGAGTGAGCCGAGAGAGAGCTTAGAGATGTGAGTGAAATGAGAGAGTTTAGAGGGAGAGAGAAGTGACAGAAAGAAAAAGGGGAGGGGGGATGTCACACGGGATAGGGGGGAAAAGTAAGGGGACAAGAGCGTAGATGTAGGTCCCAGTGGTTCACAATTTAAGGTCAAATAAGACAAAACGTGAAATACCGAAAAACAACACTCAATGTAAAAAAGAAAGGATGGGGTATTACATAAATGGTGGCGTGAATGGTGGTATAAATGGTTCACAATTTTATAAAATAACGCTCATTAAATATGTGACTCAGTTCTAGGCAGTTAGATAATTTCTTTTGAACAGTTAGAATAAAAAAGTGGAATGAAATGAGAGAAATAAGAGGCGGGAAATTCAAGTCCAATTAATCAAAGTCATTGTTTGATTGGTAGACTGGTCCCAAAATAACTCTTAGACCATCTCTAACCGAGGGCTGGACAGAGGGCTTATTTTAGCCTTCTGACCCTTCAAGAAATTAATATTTTAATGAACAGTACAAGACCATATTTGCCTCCGTCTCCAACCTAGGGCCATAGGGCTCGTTTTAGCCCTGTCACAAAAAATCGTCTCCAACCAAGGGTCAAAAGGCTATAGGGCCAAACATAATTTATTATTTAAAAACTACAACTTAAATTCAAATCCAACAACTAAGTGATTTCAGCTAGCCGTTGGTAGCTGACATCATGCTTACGTTAGCTAGCCGTTGGATTTGAATTTTTCTTTTGCTATAAATAGGGTGGATATTGGGTTATAATTCACACAACTTTGAATTCAATCTATTTCAATTCAATCTCTTTCAATTCAAGTTTACAATGAATTCCAACTTTGGATCCGAAGATTCTAACTGGGGGTCTTCATCCAATTCCAAATTGGAACCAAAATGGGCGCAAATGAGACGAGAAGATGAGGAGTCTGATGAAGAAGTTCAACTAAGGCACAACAAACAAAACAGAGCAGTAGCTATGGCTGTGGCCATGGTATGTCAGCCAACTAAGGAACAACCTCAATGGGGTGGCTCTATTACTGGTCGCTCTTACAAACCACGAAACAAAGCCATGTCACATGCCTGATAAACAACTACTTCAACCCTAACTCAGTGTACACAGAAGAGGATTTCAAACGTCGCTTCCAGATGAGGCGTCATGTCTTCGAGCGTTTACTTCGTGATGTCCAGCATGTTAATCCATACTTTCGACAGAAGTGGGATAGAGCAGGCCGCCCTGGTTTATCACCTCATCAGAAGGTTACTATTGCACTCCGAATGATGGCTTATGGCTCCCCAGTTGATTCAATAGATGAAACCTATGATATGTCTAAGTCTACATGCCTTGATACTCTTGAACAATTCTGTGACACAATTGTTCAGGTTTACAAAAACGAGTACCTCCGCGAGCCAAATCAAAAAGATCTTAATCAGCTCCTTCGCAAAGCTGAAGATCGTAGGTTTCTGGGCATGATAAGGTCATTAGACTGCATGCATTGGGATAGGAAGAACTGTCCCACCAGATGGTAAAGAGGCTTTAGCGGAAGGTCGAGAAAGCCAACTATTGTGTTAAAGGCGGTTGCCTCATATGACACATGGATCTGGCATGCTTTCTTTAGAGTCCTGAATCCCAAAATGACAATACAGTTCTTGGGCGTTCACCCCTCTTCAATAACTTGACGGAAGGTAAAACACCTCAACTTGACTACAACATCAACAACTGTCAATACAATATGGGGTATTACCCAAAGTGGGCGACATTTGTCCAAGCAATTCCAAATCCTAGGAATGACGCAGAAAAGTTATTTACCTTACACCAAGAGGTATACCGGAAAGATATTGAGAGAGCTTTCGGTATTCTACAAGCAAGGTGGAAGATCATTAGCGAACCAGCAAGAGGGTGGAATCGAGAAAATTTGGACTCCATCATGATGTCTTGCGTCATATTACACAATATGATAGTAGGAGGATGAGCGAGATAGGTATATTGATGGAGAGTCCGATGACGACCAAGAAGATCCAAATAGGTCAAGAAGGGCTTGTGCAAAAATATATGATGAGCCTAATTTGCCTTTCAATCCAAGAACTGGTAGTATCTCTATAAATGAGTACATGAGGTGCTATAGAATAATACATTCTCGTGCCACAAACAAGTACCTACAACAGAATCTTGTTGCACATCTTTGGGCCAAAAGAAGCATGGAGTAGGCATTTAAGTTTTATATTGTTAAATGTTTTTAAAAATATTGTTTAAGTTTCATGTTGTTAAATGTTTTTTTTTTATGTTGTATAATTTGTATGTTGGTTAATGTTATTTAATGTTGTTTCATGTTACTTAATTTAATTTAATGTTGTATAATGACTTAGGAAGTTATAGGAAAAAAATATAATAGAAGTTATAGGAAAAAATGGAATTTAAAAAAAATATGAAACAAATTTTGTGAAATAGAAGTTATAGGAAAAAATGGAATTTTTGTAAAATAAAAGTTATAGGAAAAAAATAGAATTTAAAAAAAAATATGAAAAATAGAAGTTATAGGAAAAATTTTGTAAATAAAAAATAATAATAAAACTGTAAAAAAGAAAAAAAAAAAAATCAAATGCAACGGCTAGCTGACGTCAGCTAGCCGTTGCGTTGAATTTTTTTCTTAAGCATTACCTGTCGAGTTATAACCCCGGGCTGGTTAGTTGGCTGCATGCAGGCGGCCCTCCAACCCTCTCCGATTCTATGGGGCCCTCTCAGATTCTACAACCCTCTAGCCCTCGGTTAGAGATGGTTTTCGGGCTATTTTCAGCCTTCTGGCCCTCTGGACCATTCGGTTGGATATGGCCTTAGTCTATCTCTTATACATCACAAGCCTTATTGCAATTACCTAAACCATTGAAAAGAAAAATGAACAAAATAAATGGTAAATTACATATTATGATTTCAAAAACAATGCAGTTTCCATCTTAAAGAGCTATCTAGGATATACTTTGGTGATCAATGAACCTCATTTTTTGGTGCTTTGACAGAGCTGCTCTTAGATCGATCGGACCCGGTTGTAATCACCTCCTAACTATTCTTTCATCCCAAAGTCATGTCAAATCCAACGTTACTATCTCCGAAAATTGATGGTTGTGACGGTACTGGAAGTGTGACTGAGTAACTGTTAAGCATTAGAACAATAGCATTCATTGTTGGCCTATCAGCTATATTTTCTTGCACACATAGCAACCCAATATGGATGCATCTCATGACTTCATTTCTTGAACCGTTCGTCAACGCAGGATCTATTAGATTTGAAGTTGTCCCTTCCCTCCAACATTTCCATGCCTGCGTTGTGAAATTCGTAGAAATATAGTTAGAGATAAATTATTTTTCTTGGTTGCATTATGCATATAGTTTAGATTCTTACGTAGCTTAGAAGATCCTCCACGTTCTCGCCGTGACGAAAGGAATTATTTTTCTGTCCACTCACTATCTCCAAAACTAAGACACCAAAACTATAGACATCCGACTTAATAGAAAAGTGTCCATGCATCGCATATTCTGGAGCCATATATCCACTGCATATCGAAACAAGAATAATATATGTTGGTTTTATAATCAAACTTAGTTGAGAACCTTGGATTATTGATATAGACTAACACAATTATAATATAAGCCATGTAGTCTCGTCGAGTACTTACTAGGTCCCCACAATTCGACTGGTGTTGCCTTGTGTTTGATCAACCCCAAACAATTTTGCCATGCCAAAATCTGATATCTTGGGACTCATTTCTTCATCTATCAAGACATTATTGGCTTTGAGATCACGATGAATAATTCTAAGCTGCGAATCCTCATGAAGGTAAATAAGCCCTCGAGTAATGCCTACTATGATTTTGTAGCGCCTATCCCAATCCAGTTGTGCGCGCTTGGTTGGGTCTGCATGTTCAATTCAAACCAAGGTTACAATGTTTCTTGTACGTTACAAGAATGATATTTTATGGTAAAATTTTGAAGTTAAAGCTAAAATTGTACAAAAAGAACATTGAAGCATAAATACCAAATATGATGCGGTCTAGACTTGCATTAGGGACAAACTCATAAATAAGAAGCCTTTCAACTCCTTCCAAGCAGAAACCCAAGAACCTAACTAAGTTTCGGTGTTGAAGCTTTGCCACTAACATGACCTCATTTTTAAACTCCAAATCTCCTTGTCCGGAATTTACGGAGAGCCTTTTCACTGCTATCTCTTCTCCATTCAATAACCTACCCTGAAAGAGTATCAAAACAAAAAGGTTGCATTCAAGGAATATATACATGAAACTGGTGATGTTGCCCATATATATCATGATGTTGTTAAGATTGGCAGGTTAGGTTTTTTCACAATAAAGCCCGCCTCGGTGTTATAAATAGTGGAACAATCACTATATATTGTATTTTATTTCAGTAAGGTATGATGTGAGAATCTTATCTTCAATAGATGTGTTATATATTACCTTGTAAACAGAACCAAATCCCCCTTGTCCTAGTTTATTGGCTTCAGAAAAGTCATCTGTGGCAACTCTAATGGTGTCAAAATTGAATTGCAAGGATTCTGCAATTCCAATTTCGTCCGTGTCTTCACCTGTGGTACAATTTTAACAAAAATTTCATATGTAACATAATTAGATCTAGATGACGTAACAGTACTAGGCTTCCTACTTGAAGCAAATTGAGTTAAATTAATGTTAATGTGTTTATTTTGTTACAGTACCGTACCTGGAATAATTACTTAGAAGCTTTTTTTTTGCCTTCCGTACTCTTATAGACAAATGCCCATGAACATTACTAACACCAAAGAAGCAATAATTGGCACAACAATAATAATGACAGTCCGAGATTTGCTGCTCTTCGATCCTGCAAAGTTTCTCTAATCACATGAGATTCTGAATAACATGTTTAAGTGATCGATCTATTAGAGAGAGGAGTTACCATTGATCAATTAAATTTTGAGATCAGTGTCAAGCAAATATACAGTCATCGGCGTATGTAATGGCGTGTACATACATATACGTTGTGCGTACGTACCTTGTGAAGTGTTTGTGGTATTGATTGATGGTGGTGGAGAATGTATTTGTGGCGGAGATGGCAGTTGTTTGACAGTTGTAGGGTCATAGAAGGGGTAAAGATCGTATCTAAAGTAACAGCTAGGTCTATTAACTCCCCCACCTACTTTCCCGTAAAATTGGGAGATATATGCAAAAGCCCCAACTAAGCAATCACTGCAACTTTGCTGTGATATGTCTGGCGTGCATTGCGCTAGTGCAAATATTGTTTGGAAAGATGGGGCACTTGTGTTTCCGAATGCAAATTTCCGAAGAGAACCGCCAGCTGCAGCTTCACTTCTTATGCTGTCCAGTAGCTTCCTCAGCTCTTGGTTGAATCCATCCAGGTCGGACGACGATACGTTATTTATGTTCCAGTAATACGGCGAAGGCTCAGTTTCCATGACGCCATAGATGGAGCGGTTTGAGTAGCGTAAAATGCATGTTTCATTCCAACCAAATGCTTCCTTCCGATTAGGGCAAAGCTGAGGGAGAGTATATCGGGAATTATTTAGGCAGCTACGGCAATCTTCAGCCTTGGCATCTCCTCTACAAAGTCCGGTTGCATAAATGCGCTCGTTCGACGAGTTTAGGCGATAGGATGCATTGTAAAAGCCATACCCGTTGCCGTTTTCGTTGGAGGGCAGGAAGGAGAGGAGGCGGTTGAGGGTTGTCTGATAGGTACTATTGGTGGTATAGTTTCCTTTTTCGTCTATGCAATTTTGAGCAAGGGCTTGATTAATCATGAGAAACAGAATGGGAAAGAGGCAGAATAGAAATCTTGAGGAATCCATTGCTGGCATTATTTGATATTTTTGCTAAAATTGGTTTGTAAAAGAGGATTATAGTTCTGATGGAAAAACTGCTACGCGTATCAATGAATATCTCACTTTACGCAAGACACGGTGGTGGAATACCAGACTTATACTATTCAACCTTTGAAATAAAGTAAACCACAGATTGGAAATGGAACAGGAGTCGTTGGCTGGGTCAATTTCTCTTTGCTTCTGGATGCATGCACTCTCTCAGTCAACAAAGTAAATCAATTATACTATGCAATTCTGACAATTATTTACTCGTTTTTTTTTTTTTAGGTCAAAAGTGCAAATTTTATTACTAACAAACAACTAAATACAAGAAGTTCAATTAAGTGATACATAACAAAAAACAAAAAGACTTAAAGTTACATAATACAAGGCCCAACACGCTAGTTGGAGCCCAAAAACTAACACACCACCAACAAAACACCTTAGCCTTCTGCTGACGCCGCCATCGTTTACACAGAGCATCCTCAGCGCAAACCAATACATCGGACCGCCGTCAAGCATCCACCTCCCAGAAGCGAAGAATATGGTGACTCCAGTATCTTGCAACAATCCATCGTGCCGATCGCAACCAAAATATGAAAGAAGCTAGTGGAGAACCCACTGACGACAGGTGCCAATAAAGGCAAGCAAGCGGAAGGTGGTGGTGTGTACACCCGAGTAAAAACTCTACGCACCTTCCAAAAAACCACAGCCGAGTGCTGTGAAGAAAGGAGATTGCAGATCGAAAAAGAGGAAGCAACGAGGAAGGATGGAGCCAACCCGGAGTGGGACTGGAAGAAATTGGAAAAACAGAGTGAGAGGGATAGATGAGAGCCATGGAAGTGGAAGGAGAACGGAGGTGAGGATAGATCGAAGCGGAAAAAGAGTGGAAGAGCAAGGGGGATAGAAAAAGTAGGCAGTGAAAAATTGAAGCATAAGGAAACGAAAAGAAAGAAGAACAAGGAAAGAAAGTAGAGGACTGCCACCGACCCTTGCCAGAGCTCGAGCTGGCAGCTGTGGAGAAAAATCAACGATGGAACAACTCACACAGAGAGGTGAGAAAAACTCTTAGAGAGAGAGAAAAAGAAAGCACTCTCATTATTTACTCGTTTGGTTCGATATACCTTCCTACTTTGTGGTCAGAATACGATTGTCAATTTGTAATGTAAGATGATAAGGCTGGCAAGGGTCGGCTTAGATTGATTGTAATCGGAAGATTAAGGTATCAGGAAAGCAATCCCATAATGGTTGTGTTTGACCTCCTTCAATTTTTTAAAGTTGGTTTCGTTGGAGGCGATGTGGAAGTCTCTTGAGCTCCAATTAGGTTGAAATTGGGGCCCGATTGGATGTTGGTGTGATTCGATTGGATGTTGTGTTGCTTAAGTTTTCAATCTCGTCAATGTCGGAGGGATGAAGTGGGATTGTTTACGTGGGATGGGGTTTTGGAATGTGCAGAGGGGTTGAGGTTGAAGATAAAGAAAGAGGAGCTGCGCTGGAATTTTAAAGTTTTTTTAGCCTGCACAAGTAAGACGACATAAATTCTTTTTTGTTTAAAATTTAATTCAGCTCAAAAAATTAAAACAAAAAATGATAATTTTTTTTAATTTTTAATTGCCCACAAAAGTAAATTTTTTATTCTTTTAAAAAAATTTATTTTGCCAAAAAATTAAAATAAAAAATAATAATAATTAATTTTTAATTTTTAAAAATATTTCTTAATTTTTGACAAATAAAAATATTATTGTGACCATGTTCGTGATATTTAGGGTTATTATACAAAATGGTCTTTGAGATTTGCATGATCAATAGAAATGGTCCCTGAAATTGAAAATCAATAGAAATGGTCCCTGAATTGTCCACCATCCATAATTTTGGTCATTCCGTTAAAAACTCTTTAGGCAATTTTCAAAACTTCGTAACTCAATCGATTCTTAATCAAATTCGACCCATAATATACAAAATGAAAATAAGAAAGTGTAAAACAAGATTATACCTATTTGGAAGCCCCATAATTGCCGAAGATGGCCGTAAAATAGCCTGAAAGGTTCAAGCAATGAGCCACTTCCCATGAATCCTAAATTTGGGGGAGTGGAGTTAGAATAAAGGAGCATGATCAAACACTTCCATGGAATGTAAAACATGGATAAATACAAGGAGTGTGGAACTTGGAGTCCAAGCATTTTATGCCTATAAAAAGGCTAATAATCACACAAGAACATGGGGAGGAAAGAGGTAGGAGATCGTTCTATACTTTACAAGTATCTGAACAAACACTAACTTGAGCATCAGAGTGTTTTATTGCAGGTTCCCCTCCTCCCTCCTTGATGGCGAGCGAAGATGAAGTTTAAAGCTTCTCAACATGTTCAAGATTACTTGTTGGAGGAGAATTGAAGTACCTGAATTTTTTCGCTCCAACACTATCCATTTTAACAAAGCTTAGAAGATCCTCCCCATTTCTCCATGATGAAAGCAGGGTAACACACCAAAATTATAGGCATCTGACTTAACAAAAAAGTGTATTGCATACTCTGAAACTATATATCCATTGCACATCCATATATAGAATGTTGTTTTCATCAAATCCTCGACTGATATCCCATACATTTTTTGTGTTCCGAGCCCCCTTGACAGATATCTCATGCAAAATTAAACATTTGATCCAAAACTTGTATTATTTTTTTATGTTAACAGACGCATTTTAATGCATATGGTGAAACACTCAAAGTACATAAAAAAAAGTCTAACAATTATTCTGGAACAAAAACTTTTAACCATAAAGAACTCATCACAATCACAATTAAAAAGTAATTAAACTAATCGCATTACATGAAGCACTACATAAACTATTCAGAGTCAGAATTAAGCTAGCTTAGTTTGACAAAAATAAAAAATAAAAACTAAACTAGCTTAGCTAATTAATTACAGGTCATGTGATCATGATTAAACTACTTTGTTCTTTGAAGAACAGAAAACCTGAAAATGTACTTGGAAGTTTTCCAATCCCAGTCAAGGTAAAGACCGATTTCGTCATTTTCCTTTAAGCCTCTCCGAGGTCTCCAACCTCCATTCAGAATGTAAAAATCGACAGAGTTCCAATGCTTAAAAGTTAACTTATGCCGGTTGCACGTATCCCAGTCCACAACTGTAACTGGTAAGCCCTCTTTACTGTTGACCATCTTGGCTAACTTGTCGTCCAAGTAAGACATAACGTGTTTTCGCACTGCCTCTTTTGGCATTAACAGCCTGCTCAGCTCTCCGAGATCGCTCGCTGCTAGCCTCTTCCTGATTTTCCAAATTGAGCTGTAGTCCCAGGTCGGATCCCACAGATACAGATCGGTAGAGAGTTCGTGTCCTCCGCGAAGATCATTCAAACTACTGCCGAGGCCAATGCCGAACAGTCGTACTTTTGAAGGGTGGTGGTCTTCTTCTTCTAGTTTCATTGCTAATTTTTCGATTGAACGTAAATGCTTGGAAAGTGTGGAAGATAAGAGAAGCACTTTGTTGGTATATATAAAGATTTAATCATGCTTGGATTAGGAAAGTATTGGCTTCCTAATTTCATTAGGAAACTTTTCCTTTGTTTCATCTTTCCCTTTCTAATTATTCCTGGTTCGGGTATGTAATTTGCTTTAAATTTCCAATTCCGTTTGGGCCTGGGTTGGTCTCTTTGTGGCGTGGCCCGCATAGGTATTCAGTTGGGCTCCTTTCTAGTTGTCCAATTCCTTTGGGCCTGAATCAGTTTTAGGTTTTATTTATTTATTTATTTTATTTTTTATTATGGACATTTTAGGTGTTAAAATTCCTTATTTAATTTAATAGGAAACTAGATATATAATTTGGCACAAATATTTGAGTTCTTTTAAGATGAGAGACAATGTTTCATAAAATGTCTGACAAAAACTATTTTTTGTAAGACCGTTCTTTATATAGCAAGGGAAATGGATCCTCTTCGGATCCTTATATGGGAATCTTAAGGATTTCCACATCTCAGCCGTTTATTGTATATTGTGATGCTAGTTTTCGTCATGTACTATTTGTGTTTAATTTTAAATAAAAAAAAGTCAAATGATTTCTGATCACACGATACACGATGAACGGTTGAGATGTAAGGATCGCTAGAATCCCTACATAATGAATCCGGAAAGGATCCATTTCCCTTGCTATATAAAGAGCGGTCTTACAAAAATAAATTTTTGTCAGACATTTTATGAAACATTGTCTCTCATCTTAAAAGAACTCAAATATTTGTGTAAAATTATATATCTTAAATCGCAGATTATTGAAGTCAACTGACCATAATAACTCTGCTCCACCATTAGATTAAATCGTAGAGTAATCCTATAAAGACAAACTCGATAGGAATTTCATCAAACACTTTGATCCTCACCTTAAAAAGAACTCAAATATTGAGATGAAGTTATATATCTTAACCCGAGATCATTTTCTAAAATTAAGAGCGCTATGTATATAGTATATTGTAATGACATCACCTTTTTTTTATCATATATGGGACCTGAGGTACGAATATTTAGGCGCATTCAATTAGATACTATGATTTAGGTGCATTCATGTAGGTACTATGATTTAGATACATTCAAATAGATACTATGATTACATATTTAGATGCATTTGACTAGATACTAGAATTTAGGTGCATGGTGGTAGGTATCATGATTTAGATGCATTTGACTCGGTACTATGATTTATGTGCTTTCGATTTTCACTAATATTTTTTAGGATGTCTAGATGAGGTATGTTTATCATCTGAGAAAGTCGAGCAATAATCAATGCCAAAAAATGTGGAGCAAAATAAAACCAAATATTTAATATGGGCATTATGGGAACAAAAAAAACGCATTAAATATTTAAAAACTAGAAAATATGAATTTTAATATTTATGATGACATGGAAATTTAGTCAAGGGACTATAATGAATATATAATTTAACATAAGGTTTTAATTGAATTTCAATTTTTATCAACGATTAAAATGGAGAAACCCCTTAATTTATTTATTATTTTTTTTTTTTTTAACGAAGGTGTCGAAACTATTATATTAATTTAAGGGAGATGAGAGTTTCGAATTCGATATGGACAGGCAGAAACCCAACACTTTATCTATTAAGATATTGAACCACATGCAAATATTCTATGCTTCTTTCTATATGAAGAGCGGCCTTACAAAAATAAAGTTTTGTCAGACATTTTATGAAACACTGTCTCTTATCTTAAAAGAACTCAAATATTTGTGTCAAATTATACATCTTAAATCCCAGATTATGGAAGTCAACTGACTATAATAACTCTGCTCCATCATTAGATTAAACCGTAGAGTATCCTATAAAGACAAACTCGATAGGAATTTAATCAAACACTTTGATCCTCACCTTAAAAACAACCCAAATATTGAAATGAAGTTATATATGTAATTAACCCGAGATTATTGAAAAGAAATGCATATTATTAGAGCAAGCCGTATTACATTGGTCTTAATGGATACAAATTCAAGTACTTGCCAACAAATATTACACTTGCTAAATGTATGTAAAAAATGAAACAAAATTGAACATACATTTTCACCAATCGCTTCCACACTCTTAAAAAAATGCGTATGCTGATAACAAGCATAGCGACAATAGCAATCCCAAGAACGATGATGGTGATACTTTTGTTGTTATGTTACTCGTACCATTTCCTGTATTATTTCCTGCAAAAATCACAAGGTTTTTAGTCAAAAAAGCAATAAGCAGATATCAAGAGCACAATATTGTCCTATTTTTCCTTTTTTATGAACTTTCAATTTAGTTTTGAGATTTCCTAAACTTTCAATTTGAGTCAATCTGAATAATAAATCTTATAAGTCGTCGAATTTGCTGCATATGTGTAAGTTTCAGTTCATTTTTATGTTTACTCTTTTTTGTAAATTCTGATGGAATTAAGAGACAATTATGACAAAATTGTACAGTTAGGAGATACAATGGCACGAATTCGGTTCAGAGTTCCTCTAAACTCCTAATTTAAAATTTTCCGAGCGGCAAAGTGTAACAAAGTTCAAAGTTCAGGTTCATTTCTAAAGTTTTCCCTGAAAATTAAATTAATTGCAAGACATATAAATGATGTACCTTGTGTGCCTGGAAGATTTACTAGGGAATCAGATGCTGCGTCATAGAAGAGATTGCTCTCAAACCTCAAATTACAGCTGGGTCTAAGGACTCTCCCTCCTTCCTTTCCTTCACAGCATTTTGGGATATCCGAGGTGGCCTCTTTGAGGCAATCACTGCAATTTTGTCGGTCCAAATCAGGTGTACACTGGACTATTGCATATATGGTTTTACTTGCAGGGACAAGTGCATGTCCAGCTGCAAATTTTGTAGTGGAGTTTCCTGCTGCAGCTTTCTCACTTAAAATCTCCAACAAGGGGTTGAGCACCAGCTTGAACTGCTCAGCGTTTGACGCGTTAGTCGGGCCGGGCACAAACTTAACCGGATCATCTTCCACAACACCGAAAATTGAGACGTTCGAGTAGTGTACCGTGCAGCGCTGTGCCCATATGATCGCTTGTTTTTTATTGGTGCAGTTCTGCAGGAGAATGGAAATGGACTCATCGAAACATGAGTGACAGTCGTTTAGGGGAACGTCTCCTCTGCATAGTGCCATTGCATTGACTTTTTCGGGGCCTTGTCCGAGAGAATAGTTGTAAAACCCGGAGTTGATTTCGGTTTTGTTGGAAGAAAAAGAGGAGAGGACGGTGTGGAGGTTTCGTTCGTAGATGCTGCCATTGTTGAAGGTTTCATTAGTACGGGAACAGCTCCAGCAGTAGTCGGCCGTCAAAGTGCATACGCCATTATCATCGTCATCGGCTATGGCTGGAGCATGAAGGCCCAAGATAATAGGAAGAATGAAGAAAAGCAATGGTCTTGAGTAACCCATTTTTCTGTATGAAAACTCTGTGAATATCGGTCATTACATAGCTGTAAATAAGTAGACAATATTTGGATTGTATCCACGCGGTATCACTAATTCATCTAAGTACACGTATATTTATTTATTCATCATGTACACATATATTTGACCCAAAAAAAAAATCATGTACACTTCATTATTTATTTACTTATTTTTAGAGCTTCTGTTGAAAATCCGAGTCCGCGAACAAGTCACACGTTAGTGGGGTTTGTGTTTTTCCTTCTTCTTGGTCTAATGTAGCGGCTTAAATTAAACATGTAGGACAGTCGTTGGAGAAGACCTTGACCCCCATCTGTGGTCCCCAATCTAGATGGTTGCTTGACAATTTTGTTATTGGTTTTGTCCCCTTCATTCTATGGCACTAACTTTTCTAAGAGAAGACTTAGACTTACGAGTCTTTAGCCTCTCCCCTAACCCCTCCAATACGAAGAGAAATTCTGTGACATGGCTATCCCGTTTAAGTTACATGCTCACACATGATGAGGGAGATTAAAAACATATATACACACAATTTACATGCACCTAAAAATTTGATCTCATATTTGCTGACTGGAAACTATTGTATTTCTTCACAGATATTTCACGGATCAATATATAGAAGAAAAATGCAAGCACTGATCGTGAGATACATATATTGTGCACGAACATGAGAACAAGTGATTTCATTAGCACCCAACGCATTACTCATAGCTTTATCTTCACACATAGCCATCCAATGTATATGCATCTAGCCACTTAGTTCTTTATCTCTCCACAACATTTCTTATCATGCACGTAGGTTAACCAATAAGCCAGAGAGAAGAACGCACAACACTGCTGCAACAGTCGGAAGGGTGACTGGAATAGTAACATAGGATTTGTTCCCACTTCCTGCATGCACACGTGGAATAATTGTACTCAATAATATATGCCAAGCCAAAACTTAGGGTTTATAAAACTTTATGCTTGACTGGAAACGCTTTTGCTAAGAGCAGTTCCACCGTTGCTAAGGCCCCCTTGGGCTATTCATTATTTAATCCATTCAGTGAACAATAACTGCTCTTAATAAACAGTAATTGTCTATTGCATCTCCACCCCTACATTGAATAGTCATGCAATAGGCAATAAAATATTAGTATTTTTTTAAATAATACAAAATAATTTTATTTGTAATTTCAGATAAGATTTTTAATCGGTTTCGTTGTAACACTTTCTATTAATTTTCTTTTCTTTTTTTTCACGTGGTGCAACACATCATTCCAAAACCTTTGTTTTTTACGCATGGTGCCGATGCACCATTCCAAAACCTTTTTTTTTTATTATTTTTTCTTCTTTTCACATGGTGCCAACGCACCATTCTAAAAGCTGTGTGCTTTTTTTTTTCTTTGAGCTCCGGCGGTAGGGCCTCAAATTCACAGTTTTTCCTTAGTTAAAATCTCTCTCTCTCTCTCTCTCTCTCTCTCTCACTAAAAAACAAATTCCAAATCGTGCGATATGGGCGCAAGAATGGAAGGAGGGGGATCGCGAGTGCATGGAGGCGAAGGCGGTGTGGGGTGCGGCGGCAACTGCGGGCGGAGGAGGGACTGGATCTCTTCCATTTATCTGTGGGTGTATCATCAGTCTTGACATTTTTTAAAATTTTTTTTAACTTTATATTATGGTTGACGACGCCCTGACGTCAATCCATGTCACATGACCTTCGGGCTCTCGGGCTGGCAATCCCTGTTGGGCCTGTCGCTTGGGCCTAGCCTGTCCCTTGGGCTGGCATACGCTGGACCTTATCCCCCGACCTATTTGGCTCTGTTCCATCCCCAATCCACCGGGTACAGCACGGTGAAACTGCTCTAAAAGGACCCATAATCCTAGCTTTTTTTTTTTTAAACTGTTGTAAGATATTGTCAAAAATATCGTTGGTTATCTAAAATGGCTTTCAACTATTTTAAAATGAATAATGCTAGAAGGACCATGTGACATCCCGTCCCGGAATTATCGGAACGTACGTGTGAAAAGACTGTTTTGCCCCTAGTTTGTTTTCGTTACGTATTTTGGTTGTTTTTGTGTTGTGTTGGCATGTCCTTGGGCCACACACACACTCCCACACCTGCACCACCTTCTATCTCTCTCTCTGTGAGTTCCCTGAGCCCCATTCCCTTTCTTCTTCTTTGAAAACGTACGGACCACACACAAACACACTCAAACCTTAGCAGATCGAGGGAACCAAGACCACCTTCGTGCTCGTGAGGTTGAGAGGAGTTCAGTGGTACCATTTTCAGATAAGGGTATCGCTGTTTTCACGTCGATTTCACAAGGTCCGTTTTAGTCACTGTTCATGCAAGATTAATCTAGTTAGTTTTTGGACTTTTGAAGCTTGTAGATGTGTTGGTGAGGTCCCAAGGAGCTTGGGAGTGCATCGTTGGACGGAATTGGACGTCGGATTAGCCTGGTTCGAATTTGACCGGTTTTGGTTAGTTTGGACAGGTAAGATCGCGTGGTTTTTAGCCTTTGAAACTTGTATGGACATGTTCTACTAGCTTAGGGCTTCAATTTGGTGCAAAAATCTTGAAAAATGGTTGAGAAACGAGTGAGAAAACTCGAGTTGCAGGTTTTCCAGTTTTCCGGCGCCGGCGACGGCACCGGAGACTGAACGGAGAAGGAGATGGAATATTCCGTCAATTCTGACGGAATATTCCTGACGCCGTTAACGGAATCTGTCAGTTTTGACGGAATATTCCTAACGGCGTCAGTTGACGTCGTCCGTGTGCACCGCACGTGCCTGCGCGTGTGGCCATGCTTTGGCCGGCGCGTGCGGCGGAAGAAAATTTTTCTAAAATTATGGTTGTGTTCCTGAGGTTGTGTAGAGCACGTTGGTATATTCATTTGTCCATTTTGAGCAATGTATGAGAAGTTATTACGAACGGAAGGTTATGTGCTTTAAAAATTAACGTTTTTATAGTATTTTCGCATATAGGTGATACGTATCCCGAGGACGAGCGTGCTCACTCGAGGCAGGGGGGCTACGATCCTTCCACATACCAGTGAGTGGGCTTTTGGTTTTCCGTTTATACCTATATACATTTATATTCCCAGAAATTGTTAAAAAGGGCTATTTGTTTTATGCCATGCACCATATCCTTATTGTTTATGCATTATCCTATACATTAGTAGTGGCATACATATACATATTTATATTTGGTGCTGCGGAGGCCTAGGTAAGTGCTAGGTAAGCGTTGTTTAACATTTGCATTAAATAGTGATTAGAGGTGCTTAGAGAGTTCATAACCTGCACCCCCGGTGTTAGTGCTCCCGCCCAGAGTAGGGCACAGTCCTTCACGTGTTGTTCACCTCTCGCACCACACGCTCAGCTTGAATCCAAGTTAGGTGCACAGTCTTGTCGTATAGACCACTTTAGGTGGTTCCGACTCTTAGGTGACCCGCGATTATTCGCACAGCCTTCACGTGATCGTAGCACTAGAGCGTTTATATGTATTACACCCAGGCCTGTCGTACAGACCACTATAGGTGGTTCCGACTCGTGGGCAGGTTTAGTTATTGAGATTGAGATTTGAGCTCTAGATTCAGCCGAACAGGTCACTTTAGGTGACTCCGGCTGCCAGTGATATGTTATTGATGTGATTTATACCTGAGCACTTGCATATCTTTATGAGGCTTTAAGATGGCATACCTTTGAGCATGATTGGCATACCCTTGAGCATGATTGGCATATTTATACATACGTATATATGTTTATTTTCTGGGAAGTATACAGGTTTTACGGCGAGGGGTTAGAATGTATTTTATGAAATGGTTTTCAAAGAGCTTTGTTTTTGCCCACTCACGCTTTTGTTTTGCGCCCCTCCAGGTTCTAGTAGCTTAGCGGGTTCGGTGGTTTTCCAAGAGGGCGTCTCGGCATTTCTGACAGACACTCACCATTGTAGGGTCACCTTCGGGTGTACTATTGTCGTACCATTTTCTTTGGACTGCTGTAGTATTTATGCTCTGAATTCAGCGTCTCACTTACGCTAGCACTTATCTTATCACATTGTGTATGATAGTTTTTAAATTATTCGTACTTTTATATTACTTCTTTTAGCTTCCACACTGTGCACATGGCTACGTCACTTCCACGTGACGGCCAGCATGCCCTGATCTCGGTCGGGGTGTGTCAACCATTTATTTAAATCATATATATATACATTTTGTAAAACACGTGACGTAATTGTTAATTATTGAGTTATTACTTAAGCTCTTGATTAAGAAACTTATTTTTTATTGATGATATATCATATGATTTATAAATTACATGATGTGGTGGTTGATAGCTTTCATTACAATCATATTACTTTCAGATAGGCCAAAGACCCCCAACTTGTTAATTACCACCTACACAATTCAATGTTGGAAATGTGCCCTAAAACCAATCATATGATAATACTTTATGGACATTTCACATGTTAAACTAATCTAGTTTAATATTAAGGGCAAACATTATTGTTTGAGCCGTTTCATATAAATGTTATATGCTTAAACGATAAGTCCAAGGAATATGTGATTGGGAGAATGCGATCTAAAGAAGTTAGATTTATGAGACCATTCTTTCGTAGACACATCCTAAACGTTCCTAATCATAGGATTGTCAATTGGGCATTGACAGTCCGTTAAGATCAGTACGTGTTGTGTCTTCTCTCAGGGAGAGTGACTAGTCTCGAGTCATTGGTGTGAGTGACACCAAGACAAGCATGTAGGTGCTCAATAGAGAATGAGTTCACTGAACACGATCAACGAGGAGTTCTCATATTCATGTCACATGAGAACTCATGGTTGGGATAATGCAAAGTAATCCTTTGACCTGAGGCATCACAGCTGTCTTGTGGTTAGGTACTTGATCTTTGATTATGTCAAAGTC